CACCACCAGATTATTTTAGAGTACCATTGCAGTAATCTATTCATAAGAAATCTTTCATATTTATAAGGATTTAGAAAATTATTTTTCCATAGGCTACAATTCTCAGTGTTTTTAGCATGCCTTACTAGGAAATCACTTTTTCCCCATTTGGTAGCTATTCTGTCATTTTTATTGCCATTCTAAACCTGACTAAAAAATCATTAATGCAAATATGCTTTTAAAAAGAAACCATTACCTAAGTTCCCTGTGCAACATAATGATCATGTTTTAAAACATTCTTTTACTTCATTATACAGCACTGAAAACTCAGAATGTAGCTTCCTCTAACCTCACATTCTTTTATTGTTCTTCCATCTTTCTGTCTTTCAACTTTTCTTTCACAAATATTTACTAAGGGCCTAATAGACATCAAGTACCAATTCAGCTATTCATATGCGTATAAATTTCAGAAAAACAATTACAGCCAATGGAAAAGCTCCTATCAGGTGCATTTCTGAAGTACTTGAAAGTGATGGTCACTGCCTGGTATGTCTTTGTGCAAAAAGTTTGCCTGTGCCACCTCATTTTAACACACTGAGTGCTGAAAACTAATCTTGTGTCCCCCACCAAATTCTCTGACACTCAGTGGATGTCTCCCTGTTAAGTAAGTTATCCTTATGGTAGCATATATGTAACTTCCTCTAGGGTAGTGCTTCTCAGACTTCCTAATGCTGCAACCCTTTAATACAGTTCCTCATGTTGTGGTGACCCTCCAACCATAAAATCACTTTCATTGCTACTTCATAACTTGAATTTTGCTACTGTTATGAGCCACAATGTAAATTTCTATGTTTTCTGATGGTCTTAGGTAACTCCTGTAAAAAGGTCCTTTGACCCCCAAAGGGGTCATGACCAACAGATTGAGAACCACTGCTTTAAAGAGTAACCTGAAAGTAGTTCTAGAAGTATCAGTCGCTTATACTGAGGACTGAAAAGAAGTGGAGAGCTGGCCTAGTGCTTAGGGGCACTGGCTGCTCTTCCAGAGGACCAGGTTCAGGTCTTAGCTCCCACATATTGGTAAACAACCATCTATAACTCCAGTTCCAAAAGATCCAATGCCTTCCCTAATCACCCAACAATGCACATACATACCTGTAGGTGAACACTCATATGCGTAAAACAGAAATAAATCATTTTAAAAATAGAAATATGCATAAAGAACAAACCTTAAACAAGCTGCTTCTCCATCCACCTCCAAGTAACAAGTCAATGCATTTCTTTCTGGTATTTTCCTCTACATATCTGACAAATAACTATTAACTCCTTTGTATTTGCATATAATTTTGCAATGTACTTTATTCAGCTCCATGAAGGCTGTGTTGTTAAATAGACTTTAATATTAGTATAATGGCTGCCTAACACTTTATCACAGGATTTATAAATTAAATATTGCATGATTATTGAACAGTTAGTTGTTTATAATGGATTGCAATTATGAGTGAGTGATCAACACAGACAGTATACTGGTTGCATAAATCTTTGTTACTGACTATTTTGCTACAAAACATATTTTGGGAAGTAGACACAAATAGAGAAAAGTTCTTGAAGATCTATCATGGTATAAATTTTGAAGAATAAAGTATTTTTCCAGTTGAAGCATTAGAAAATATTGAATAATTATTAGCTATAGTCATAAAACATGCTAAATATTAACCTAAAATTTTAGTACTCAGAAGGGAAAATCACTTGCTTTAACAGATATTCATTTCCCCATATGACCTTGAGCTTGAAGTAGGCAGCTGTAAACAAATGTCACTTGAAGAGACAAATAAGTAGAATGTTAATAGCCAACAGAATGAGTGGTTTTTACTATGGAAGAGATAAAGAAATAAATTTTGACCATAATTTCTTATATAAAGACATGACCAAAACTTCTCAACTGCTTTTAAAGCATTTAAGGACTCCCTACCCCAGAGTTCTCTATAAACAAACCCACAAGAATGAACTATTTTGAAGCCTGTTCCTATTAGTCATCATTGTCCTCAAATTTAGTTGATTTAAAGATACATGCATCATGTTCTGTCAGGACTGGAGCAGATGAGAGGCAGAGCCAAGTCTTCCTAAGATTTTCTTACACACATGCCTACAGAAGCTGGAGGTCTTTGAAGGCCCTCTCCCTGTGTCTGGCACCTGGACAGGGGCACATGGAAGAGCTGGGAACAAGCTGAATGTTTCTTTCTCTTCATGCCTCTGTCAAAATGGCTTTGGAATTCCTGACAGAATGGTAGTCTCGGTATAATTTGACTTCGTAACTGCCCACTAGCTTAAACCCTAACCAGCATTGAAGAAGGGTAGAAGAATATCAAAAGCTTCTAATGACCTCATCTCAAAAGTCAAACAGTGTTAGACATTTTTACTGTTAGAGGTAGAGTCCAATGGCCATGGGACAGCTCGGGTTCAAAGAGGGAAAGGTGTAGATTCTGCTGTTCAGTGAAGGAATGATGCCAATCACCCTGTGCATGAACTTCCCCAGCTGTTCACCTGGCACCTGTCTTTACTGCATACTTCACCTGCACTGTCCTTTAGCACACACTTTCTCTTTGCTTCCTTCATTGGAAATTATTTTCCATATTAATGGTTAAAGAAAGAACTGTGTGTCCCTTGCTACTTTCCAAAATCAGATTTTGCCATGAGATGCATATTTAAATCTCAGCTGGACTATCCATTAATACAGTGACTGTGGCAAGTGATTTCCTTTCATTGGAATGGATGCTCAGATTCCCAATGCCTAGAACAAAACCAAACATACGGACTGAATAGTTATCAACTGAATCTTTAAAGTTCCTGCATCACCTCTGTGAAATAGTAAACTGATAATTAATGTCTAGGAAACATAGTGTGTCACCTTAATGTATTATAAGGTAGTGAGAGTATGGCACCTATTGATGTCATTGTGGTAATTACATAACAATCCAATTCTTGACATGATTATATATATATATATTCTTACAGATGCTTCCCTATGCTCCAGTTGCTACGGTTACCATCTTTCTAGATGCATTCTTCAACATCTGCATCTCTTTTCTTACCCTTACCATGTCCTCAGCTAGCTTAATGACTTCAACATAGATATTGCGGGTGCATTAACATACTCTTACACAGTTCTGGGATTATCCACACTAATAATTACATTCTTCACTTTACCCCCCGCACACCAATTTTTTACTTAAAATTATCTCACCTTCACAAATATATGCCACAAATTCTGCCAATTGTCCTTCACAACACAACCTCACTCTGAGACTTCTTCAACAGTTCAGTTTCCCATCCAACTCCTGCATTTTGTTCTAAGTCATTAGCACCTTCCTGACTTGACCTGAGCCCCACAGTCACCACATTGTCTGCATCTCTGGTGATGAGCAGTAACACATATCCACAGTTCTTACCTTGAACCTGTCCTTCTGACTTCTTTCCTGTGCCTGCTCCTGGCTGTTTAAAGCATGCTTATTTGTTCAGTTTCTCCATGACACAATCCAACTAAACCTGGGGGGGGGGGGAGCCGTTGTGTTATCTGTATTCGCTCTCGAATCCTTCCATCACATGTCTACTTGAAATCTTCCCTGATGCCCTCCCGCTCCTGAGCTCAATTTCACACACTCCTGCCTTCTCTTTGGAGGAATTAGATTCTTCCATGAAGAAAACAATGATTGCCTTCTAGAAGGAGCTCTTGTGCCTTCTCCTCTTGTTATTTCAAAGTCATTCTGTGTTTCATTATTTCACTGTTTTTCTATCACTTCACTTAGAGGAAAAATTGCCACTTCTCAAGGCTTTCCTCTGCCTCCTTTGTTCAAAATCCCAACTCTATCACCATCATGATAGAATGGCCTCTAACTTTCAATCCTCAGCTCCTGGTGACCTGCTCAGTGAAAAAAAAAAAATGTTCATCTTCTATCTCCTAAAAATGCTATTTTCTTGTCAAGGCTTTAATATGCTCTAGCTCACTGTTCCATTCTTGATTTCTTAGATATCATGATCATCAAATCCAGAAAGTAATTTTCTATATACATATCAATTCATAGGTTAGTAACTTAAAATGTCTCCAGGTGTATAGTCTTCATGCGATATAGAATCAGTTCTATAACTTGCACAGTCTACATTATGGAACATGAGCATGACAACATGAAAACTGGTGTTTCCTTTAGTCACTGAAATTTAAATAGGTTTACATTTTAAAGCCCTTAAAATTGATGTTTTAGGCATAATTAGCTAATGGGACATTTCTCCTCAAATCATATCCTAGTTATTTCTTGAAAACAAAAGCTACATGGAGATAGAGCAGTTGTCTCTGTTCTATACCATCCCTTAAAGATAGAGAATTCTTTCTTTTCCTGTGATTCACTACCACTCTCCTGCATCACCCATTCTAAAACAACCTAATAACTGTAAATTTCCACAGGGTATTATGTATACTTCACTCTTGGTGGATGTCCTTACCTTCCCCACAGTACTGATATTTCAGAATGCTCTGCATCCTTTTGGCCAGAATCTGAGTTGCTCAGTATAGCACATTATATGGCTTGCACACTGAAAGGTCTCTGAGCTGGAACATTAGCTCCATTCACCTATAGCTCTTTAGTATAAATGGTATTGTGTCTGTTCCTGCAGTATTGCCTGCCTGTTACTGCTTTTGCCTGTTAGCTGTGATTGATTTTAACAGCCACAGTTCATATTGACATTCATATCCTTGTGTCTGCTTCTGATTATTTTTCTTTTTTCTATAAAATATAATGCTAATTAAAAGTTGCCTCCAGGCACAAAGTGTCTGGAAAAAATACATAATTAAGTTTCCCACAGAAATTCTGGAAAATAACTTGTATCCCATAACTTTTTGCTGTCGATTTTCATTACTAAGTATGTATTTCATTAAAATGATCACATCATTTGATGAGATCCACATTGGAAATATATTGTGGCTGACTATAATGGTCTATACTTAGCTTTAACCACTGTCTTCCCTGTAGGTCCCCCAGGCCCACCTGGGGTGGTCATCGTGGAGGAGATCACAGAGAGCACAGCCACTCTCTCATGGAGTCCAGCGACAGACAACCACAGCCCTATCTCCTCCTACAGCCTGCAGGCTCGCAGCCCTTTCTCCCTGGGCTGGCAAACGGTGAAGACAGGTAAGAGGCCCTTGGACAGTGTCACACATGAAAGTAGCATTGTGGGGCACCAGGTGCACTTGCTTTAAAGCTCACTCAAGGTCATTTGTCAACTACAGAAACGCATTATTCTTTACAACATTGGTCTCCACTGTGGATTCTTTCCCTGTGCCTTCTAAAAGCAATCTCCCTTACTTTCTTCTGTTCATAATTTGCAAAGAGAAGCCACATTGTGTTTCTGTTTGTAGTATGATGGACTAACTTTCAGATTCACAAAGAAGTTGTAAAAAATTGCACTATACAAAAAGCCCCCCTGGAGCCATTCCCCAGCTTCACTCAATTATCACACTATATATGACTCAACAACAGTTATCAAAGCAGAGATGTGACATTGAGCAATGCTCTCAGGGAGGCTCCCTGGGAGTGTATCAGTTTGATATACAGTTGTTCTCAGGGTGCAGCTCTAGGGAATTCTTGGCATTCTATTGTATAAACACCTGTCCCCACAGGAGGATTGGGATAGAAAACTGCCCACAATCTCAGAAGCTCCTACTGTGTCTTTATAATCCCATGTCAGTTTTATTTATAAAGTGAAAATCTAACATGAACTGTGTACCTAAAAACAGTGCATCATTTTAATGTCTGCTTTTTACATATTTTCCAATTTTGTTTCATTATTTTACAAATTATTTTCATCACTAGTAATTTCCATTGAGTGTTATAAAACTAACTTTCTTCTAACTTTCCAGTGTGACTGGAAGTGGTGGCCAGGATATAAAAAGTTGCACTCCTCAAGGGTTTTTAGATACTCTATTTAGCATCATATTCAAACCAGAAGAGAGAATTTTCTGAAGCGGATCCATACAGACTGGAGATGAGTGTTTCTGTTGTATTTTAAAGTTAATTAATCTGTTTAAAAGTAAACTATAAAAATCAAGCTAGACATGATGGGAGATCACAGCACTTGAGAAGTAGAGGCAAGAGGACTGCTGTATATTTTAATCCATCCTCAGCTACATAAGAAGCTCTAGGCCAAATGGGCTACATATCAAAACCCTATCTCAAACAACAGCAAATAAGTAATGTGAAAATCATCAAGATGAATTCATTAAAAATAAAACTAAGATGGAATACTATGGCTTTGAAGTGGTCTGTTGTATCCAGGTAAATGACACTTTGGCTCAAGCTTAGCTTCACTGAGATTATAATTATGTAGAGGAAAATGTATTTCCCTACAGAATATATTTCAGATATTATTTGATACTAAGTTGCTGATGAACTGAACTTATACCTCACTATGGTTATCGTGACAGTGTACTGTATTTATACAAATATTTAACATATGTATTTAAAGCACTGGCCTCATTCCTGGGTCCACTATAACCTGGTGGGACAATTGTTGCTCCCAAGAAATGAGAGGAATGATCTGGGTTGGTAGAGATAGGAAGGACACAAATTCAAATCACATGAGCAGATTGATTCAAAAATTTACATCCACTCTTTCCCAGTTCTTCATCTTCAATGTGGCTGCTCGAAGACTTTGCTGTGAAAAAGAACCATTGTGTATCTGGTGTGTTCTCACATACCCCGTCCCCCTGCCACCGTTTGTCACACAGATTGTTCAGCTTACTTCTGGGAGAGACGCTTAGGAGTCCATGCATATTTTCTGATCCACTTGATGATTTACTAATCCATTTTGTCTTGTACCTACTCCAGTCATGAGTTCATGTTCCTTATTTACCTTGCTCTCTGATTGTTGCCTATTCTTTTGTTATTACTGTTTTCTTGATGCATCTGTTTCTACAGGGGTTGGGGAGCTTAGGAGGAAAAGTTAGGCTGTGTTTGCTGATAAAGCTCTACTAGAAGCTCTGTCTTTATCTTTCTAAAATAATTTGAATACTGGAGACACTTTCAAATTAGAGCTCTGTTTTAATTTTCTTCAGGAAGTACTCAATTTTAAAACTATGATTACAGTTTATTTATTTATTATTTTTATTATTTATTTGTTTGTTTGTTTGTTTAGTTTTGGTTTTTTGAGACAAGGTTTCTCTATGTAGTTTTGGTGCCTGTCCTGGATCTCACTCTATAGACCAGGCTGGCCTTGAACTCACAGAGGTCCACCTGGCTCTGCTTCCTGAGTGCTGGGATTAAAGGCGTGCATGCCACCACCGCCCAGCAATGATGGTTTATTTATAAAGAAATATATTTTCAGAATTATAGCAATATCAGTATTCTTTTTTATCTACCTTTCTTAGAGTAAAGTATCTAGCAAACTGATTCTTCATCCATCTGACTTCTTTGTTCAAAACACGGTATCCACTGCAATAGTGGAAAAGGCAAGCCTTCCCCAGGGACAGTCCATGGAGGAGTCCTCCAATCCCCGGTGAATCAAACAAGTGTGGCTTTAGCCCTGTCCCCAATCTAACCGTAACTTTAATGCCTGCGTTGGAAAAAAGTCCCCATGGGTGCAGCACCTCGACTGGTCAGATTTTTTCATAATTGCTCTTATAGTCTAAAATGATTCAAGTCAAAATAACTTCTAATCCTGACATATATATTTAGGAAAAAAGATGAGTGCACAGTTTATAACTTTTTTTTTTTAAAGATTTATTTATTTATTATGTATACAGTGTTCTGCTTGCATGTGTCCCTGCAGGCCAGAAGAGGGCACCAGATCTCATTACAGATGGTTGTGAGCCACCATGTGGGTGCTGGGAATTGAACTCAGGACCTCTGGGAGAGCAGCCAGTGCTCTTAACCTCTGAGCCATCTTTCCAGCCCCAGTTTATAACTTTTGATAAGTGAATGCAACATAAGCTATTTGGAAATCATTTCACATTCTTTTATGTGCCAAAATGAAAACAAATTCCTTACTTTCTGTTAGTTGAAACAAAAATTTGAGTATGAGTTCTTCTAACTAAAAATATCTTAGAACTTACAAATTCATATCGTGCAATTGATTTATAAATTCTCCTTTCTGCAGGGAAGGTTCAAAGTTAAATAAGAATAATGTGTATAATTGGAAGAAAGTATGAAACAATCTTTGCAAAAAAAATCATCTTTATATCCTGTTTCCATTCAAGCACATTTATTGTCCCTTAAAAATATGTTGTTCTTTATGCTACTGAAAATTCTTAGGTGGCCTGTTTACTTTTTCCTGAGTTTACTTAAGATTATCAAATCAACTATAACCATTACTGATCTTTCTTTATATATCTCCAGGATGTTTCTTAAACATCCATCATTGGTTTCTATTGTCTGTCTATGGATATGATTTTCATGAGGTGATTGGTTGATTAATTTTTTCAATTTGACCAGCTTGTCAAGTATTTTATTAAATTCTTGGTTGTGATACTTTTGCTACAAAATGCAATCCAATGGGATTCTCCTCCTGTTCAGCATGCACTTCTTGACTGTCTTTAATCATTGCTATTATTTTCTCTGTGAAGCATGATTTTTCCTTGAAATCAACTTATGCCCATGGCTCCAGCAACAATATTTTTATAAAAAGGTGCCAGCAAAGCTATTAAATATTCTTAACTGGTAAAAAAAAACAACCATTATCCCTAATCTTTTCAATATTGAAAATCAAAATCCTATCTTAATGAAGACAGCTTTGTTTGTAATTTATTTTATTTGCTTATGAATATTAACACCTCCAACTAATGTTTTTGAAAGTATTATATACCCCTTATAAAAAGCAATAAATTTAGAGTTACCTAATTAATTTTGTTATAAATTTGAAATTTATTGATTTATAAATTATGCTTAAAATAGTGGAACGTAAAGCTGATTCGATGGCACAGTGGATAAGAGCACTTTTTGTGTAAACTCGGGGATCTGAGTTCAAATGCTCAGCTCCCATATAAAAAGCTGAGCATGGCCTCACATGCCTTGAAACCCCAGCACTGAGGGATGGAGAGAGGTAGAAGCTGATTGCTCGATGTCCCCCCAAAAAATGGTGAGATTCCAATTCATTTAAACACCTCATCTCAAAGCAGTAAGTCATCACCTGATATTTTGCTCTTGTTGCTACATGTATATGGTACGTGCACAGGCACACCTTCATGCACCCCCTGCACATCACACACACACACACACACACACACACACACACACACACACACACACACACCTTGGAGCACACAAAAGAAAATAAATATAAACTGAAGAAGAATATCAAAACCCAACTATCAAATAGCTCCAGTTGTAAAAATGCATGGCACAGATGTGCGCAAAAGAGGCACAGAAGGAGTGATCTCTGAAGTAAAAATAAAGTCAAATACAGTTAGCTCCTGGAGAACAGAAAGGGTATCAAGGAAAGGAGGGCAATTGAGTGCACTTGTGTTACTCATGTGTCCATGAGGATTGACACTTGTCATTGGTTTTAAGCATATTGAGGTCAGTGCCAGCCTTGACAATTGCAGTTTCAGTGGAGCTGGTATGGTCTGACAAGTGGTCAAAAGAGAATGGGACATGGTTTTGTACAGAAAATTTCTCAGAAGTTTCATGTTTTGATAGAATCAAAGCATAGTATAAAAATTACTCCAAGAAGAGATCAGAGCTTTCAGCCATTCCTCACATGCTGTCATTTCTAGTTAAAAGATATAGTCTTAATTTGTTGCTGTGGACAGGAAGCAAAATATGTTTGTGAGAATGGAAGAAGCCTTTTCAAATTGCTCTAGAAACTGAAGGAAAACTATTTCTGGTGTGACTTAGCCTCTTCTCTAGGGCTGAGGATGGGAAATAATTTTTAGTATAGATAATGGTAAGTTCTTTGATAGCCAGACAAGAATTTCAATAACCTACATTACATATACATATATATATGCATTATACATCATATTCATAAACATATACAGTGCTTACTTCTTGAAAGTTCATGTTACCATAGCAGTTATTCTGGAGGCACGTAATTATGTACTATGAGGAAGCAGGATCATGGTCATGTATTATGATCACATAGAATGAGAAAGTAGGGATTAGTAATGGTGACATCATTGGCCAACACACATTTGTAGCATTTCTCTAGCCTCTTAATGGTATGAAATATGCTTCTTCTCTGTAGTCCCAGAAGTCATCACAGGAGACATGGAGTCAGCGATGGCTGTGGACCTAAATCCCTGGGTAGAATATGAATTCCGAGTGGTGGCCACCAATCTAATAGGGACAGGGGATCCAAGCATTCCATCTCGAATGATCCGCACAAATGAGGCAGGTAAGATCCATGGCATGAAACTCCTCTTTATACACCTCTCATCACTTCGAAAGCAAGTTGAATTAGTAATGATTGCTCCATGACTGACTTGCCTGACACATTTTCTTAGTATCCTGAGTTTGTTTCCTGTTTTTGTTACTGCTTCCAGAAACAAAGGTTTATGTAATCTTAGTTTTCTCCCATCCTTGAACTTAAGTTCTTATGAAGTGGAGGCAATTAATTTATTCTTCTAAGAAAACCCATTAAATTCAGAATAGATCAACTCACCTTCTTATTCCCCAATCTACTTCCTGAGGCTCCTCCCTGCTGTCCTTCACCACCTCACCTGGATAAATTACACTGTGGAGATGCAGACAGGCAGACAGAATGGAAGTCTGTGTGCATGAGCTACCCATCTGCTACATAGCTTAGAAAAACAGAGTTCTTCCCAGTCTTCCAGAATAAGTCTGTCTAATTGAGAAAACACCCAAATGACCATATGAAAGAAACTAATTGCTTTTATTCAAAATCAAATCAAGATATCTTGCTATCACCCAGAAGGAACCAAAACAAGAAGCAGTAAAGACTAAGTCTGGAAGATAGATCTTTTTGTGCAAATTCTTAATAAGATCTAACTTTTTGTTGTTATTGTTCTGGAGAGTGGGACAGGTTCTCATATAACCCAAACTAGCCTTGAATTTCCTATGTAGCCAAGAGTTACCTTAAACTCTTGTTCTTATTGTTTAAGAACAAGATTATCAGGTTCTAAGATCTATCTATTATTTCCCTATAAAACTCTATGTTAACTTTATAAAGACGTAGACAATTTCAGAAATGCTGTTTAAAGAAATGGTAATTATATTTCTCCTCATGTGATCTTTTCACATTGTATACACATATCAAATTATCACATATATGTCTAACAGAATACATGAGTAAGCCATATATTAAGAAAAACCCAGTGATACTCTTAAAGGAAAACAAACATCAAATATTTGATAGTGGCAATAGGAAAGTGATAGAGAAATAGGGGCCAAGCAGGCTTCAGATGTGAGGGAAGATAAGCAGATTTTAATATTTTATCCTCAGTCATTGGGTAGGAGTCTCAAAAAGAAGAACACTGAAATGAAGATGTCTGTTTCCTTCACAGTTCTGTATTTGAAATGTGAAATGATATCAGATGCTAGCATTCAACATATTGTGTTGTCATTCTGTGTTTGTGTTTTGTGTTTCTTTGACACAAGGTCTTTCTAGGTAGCTCAGACTGGCCTGGAACTTGCAGACAGTACGTCCTGCCCTAAAATCCATGAATCTGCTGCCTCAGCCTCTCAGGTGCTGCAGTTACAGGCATGCCCCACCACAGCTGGATATGCCGTATTTCACAAGGAGCATTTTAAAAGAAAAAAAGGAAAGGAAGGAAGGAGGGAAGGAGAGAGGACATGGTCATACCATAGGTGCTCAGCATCTTTTCCATAGAAGTAAAGCAATTTAGAAAATGAAAATACTTTAAATATGCTGGGAAAGTTACCTACAGAAAACTTAACTTTTTTGCTTTGTAATTTGCTCCTTCGATTTTTTTCCTTTTCTGCTTCTTTTAAATTTGGTGAATTTCAAATTGAACATTAATTGCTTGGTTGGCTAATCATACATCCATAAAAATCAGCCATGTTTTCATTGTGTCCAGGTGTTCATTAACTAAAACCATAACAGGCTAGTCATTCTTCATTTTATGTGCTCACTATGCAGATACTGAAATGATGGCAGATAGTAACACATGCATGTATTTTCTAAAAACACTGCCTTATTTTACATACTGCTAATTGTGTTTCATCAAAGACAAAGATTATTGTGTAATTTGAAGGCTGTCTAAAAATACATGTTTTAAACATAAACAACCCATTCAGGAGGAGTAATCCTTCTGAACTTTTTAAGTATGAATCTACTTCTGCTATTAAAATTTTTTTTAGCAAACCACCATTGCATTTTAAGCCAAACCATGTTCAGATGATGCATTTCAAAGATTTCATCTAGCTTTATAGCTGCCTCAATCATGAGTTGCTATGTCTACATTTATCCTGACTATCTGTATACATGACATACTTTATTCCATTAAAGTCTTACAGAAGAGGAAAGAGGTGATATGAAAAGTACATGAAGAGCTTGCTTGCCTCTTACAGTGAGTTGGGGAAAGGTGAGCGTTGCCCACTCTATACTGCTTCTACTTGAATGTCAAACTCAGCTTGAGCTCCTAATGGCATAGAACCAAGTGTGGAGTTTTGTAGCTGTTTCCTCAGGCAGCACAGATTAAAAGTGACACCAATCTCCTGAGCTAGCAGTCCCCAGTGACACACTCTGCCTTCGTTAAGTACCTACTTTATATTCCAAGATGAAATTGTTCTAATGGACCAATGAAACTTTGAAAAAGGACAGTTACTTTAGAGGAAAAAAAAATGTCTCAACATTAGGATGTAGCTAGAGTTTTCCGCCTTGCCCACAGTCAGGACAAATCTTTGTC